CTGGCAGCCCCCTTTCCCCTGCCACTGCACCAGTCTCTGACTTTGAGGGATTGGGGTGGAAGGAGGATGGGGTCTTTGCAAGCTTCCTGGGGTTTTTGGAAACCAGGTTTGGTCTTTGCAAGCCTTTGGGGTTCTTTGCAAGCCTTCTGGAGTCTCTCAAAGCTTCTCAGAGTCTTTGCAAACCTGCTGGGGTCTTTGCAAGCTTCCTGGAGGCTTTGCAAACCTTTGGGGTTCTTTGCAAGCCATGCAGGGTCTTTGTAAGCTTCATGGGTTCTTTGCAAGCCTTAGGGGTCTTTCAAAGCTTCTTGGGGCCTTTGCAAGCCTCTGGAGGTCTTCATGGAGCAGCTATGCTGCCAGTGGGGAAAATACTAAATCCTTCTTACAGAGGCTTTGGCAAGGCACCTACCCGTTGCAATGTCTCATTTGGGGAGGAAGGAGAGGGGCAATCGGCTGAGGCATCCTCTCCGTATCTGCATCTGGTGCTGGGGACAAGTGCAAAGAGCTTGCCTGTCCCCATTGCAGTGAAAGCCTGGGCAACTCCCCCACGAGTTGCTAAATAAACCTCAGTTTATGCTGCAGGAACGGGATTTTTCAGGAGGCAAAAATGCTATTTGTGATGCAGGCTCTGCTCTGTGCTATCAGGTGGGAGATCAGACACGGTAAACTATCACAGGACATATAAATAGAGATATATATATACACACACGTAGATGTCTGGAGGCTCGTGGTTTCGTGGCTACAGTCAATCTGGTCAGAGGAGTTTTCTGTTTTTTTTAAGAATCAGATCTGCCAGATTAGCAGCTGCTCTGCATAAACTTCCCCACCGCTGATGGATCTCTGCCTGCCCTAATTTCGAGGACCTGGGAACAGATCCCAGCGCCAGAGCTTGCAAACAACCCTGGCGAGCTGATTCCTGAGGGTTTTCACGTGCGTATCACCCAGCATCTCCTCCCCGAGAAGGACCGAGCCAGGGGGTGCAAGGGGGTTTTAAGCTCCGTGGGTGCTTGGTGAGGGGTTTTGGGGTGGTTTTGCGGCTCCCTTCCTGCGGGCACGTGCCTTATTGCAAAGAGTAGGAGGGAAATGTTCCCCCCACGGAGTCCTTTCAAGCTGACCTTTCGCGTTTAGGAGGTGCAAACAGGTGCCCGTCCCAATCCAGCCAGGAGGCGCTGCCCGTTCCTGCCCATTCCTGCCCGCGCTGGCTTTATTTTGGAAGAGCCAGGAAGCTTCGAGGAGGCGAAACCAACCCACCGGCAAGGATGAAGGAGCTTGGGCAAAGCTGAGCCCACCCGTGGCTTTATTGCTCTCCCTGGGGGAGGCATCCAGCACGCCCCAGCGAGGGAGATATTTATAGGGCAGCAAATTTAATGCAAAGCTGGGGGAGAGTGTGGGCAGGGCGAGCGCGGGGTGCGTGCATGGCTCCAGCCCTGGGGGAAAAAGCAGTTTTATGGGGTGCTTTGCTCTTGGATTGCCAGGTATGAAGTCTCCCAGCAGGCAGACGCCTTTATTTTGGGGAGAAGAAAGGATGGAGGGGGATTTTTGATGCTTTCTCACCCAGAAGGCAGTTGCAAAGCCAGCTCTGATGAGTCTTGGCCATGGATGTTTTACCAGGATGGGGACTGATCTCTCTTGGGTTTTATTGGCTTTAAAAGCATTTTTTATGGGTCCAAACCAGCCTTCTGCCCTTCTTCCCTGGCTTCCAAGCAGGATGGGGAAGGCAGGTCCCTGGGAGGGGACTTGGTGCCCCCCCTGGGATGCTCCTGCCGTGCTGTTACAGCTACGCACCTAAAGAAAATAAACTTTCATGCAGACCTGAGCGGGACTTGATAACTGGTTCGATGCCTTGCCCTGTTGCAAGTAATTAGACTGACATGGCTCTTAAAAGTTCCTGCCTGCAATTATGCATGCAGAGTAATAAATAAGGAGTAATTATTGTCTTAGGGAGATTATCAAACTTTCCTTGACAAAGTGGCGGTGCAGGATGGGTGAGAAGAAACGCCCTGAGGGAGTCTGGGCTATTAGTGGGGTTCGTGGGGGAGCACTGGGGGGTCGGGTCTTGCTCCATCATGGCTAGAAACAGGCTGAAATTGGGAAAAAGATGAAGTGAGCCTCAAAAAACAAGGCTGACTAAGCTCACTCAATCTGATGGAGTGGCAGGGGCCTGTCCATCGTGTACCAGGGATCTTAATAGCAAATTCTCAGGACAAGGTGTTATTAGGAAGAAACACTCAGCTCTGAATGGGCCAGATGACTTAAAATTGTCATTCTCCCTGTGCACGGGCATGTCGGTGCTAATAGCAGGTGGAGGAGGAAGAAGAGATGAGTGTAGGTACCACCCAATGAAGACGAGGTGTTTTGGGCTTGAGCGAGCATCTGCGGTGACTGCCACGGTTCAAAATGTGCCGTGACTAAACTTGCCGAAGAAAACTCAAACCCAAAATGAAGATGAGGTTTCGGCACTGTGTCTCCATCCTTTCTGGATAGATGTGATCCTGGGTGGGTTTTGAGAAGCACATGCTCTCAAACCCTCTGTTGAAGCCCTCACGCTTGCTGGGAGCCTGAAACCACCATCCTCCACCTCCCTCCAGATTACAGACTGTACCAGCCTGACCTCGTGGGGATTAAGGTATGTTCCCTGTCCGGCACAGGGCTCAAACCAGCCAAGCAGGATGTGATGCTAAAATCACAGCAGGCGGCGAGCTCAGCACCGTGCCCAGTCCAAACCAGTGCAACCAGCAGCCGCGAGTGGGAAATCCAACTTGCAGCTCTCTGGTAGAGATGCTGCTGTGGCCAGACTCTTTCTCGGAGGATGCAATGAGCTCCTCGCCCCCCGTGCCAGCTCAGCTTCGCCTCAGCTCGAAGGGTTTTAGGCGTGTGTGAAGGCTTGTGCTCCCCCGGGAGGGCTTGACAACCAGCAAAATTCACGAGTCTATGAAGATCAGGAG